ACCCTTCTGTTTTCAGGGTCTGCTCTAGTCACAGGCCTGTCCAACCTCCTCAGCAAGGAGTCTCCAATCACATAAACCTGCCTTTGCCTGGTGACAGTACTCTGTACAAATCTATCCCCTGTTCCCTGTAGTCGTACCTCTTGTGTCTCTCTATTTTCCCTTGTAGTCCCCCTAGCGCCATCCTCTATCCTACTGGGGCCCGGTATAGGTGCTGTCTCCATCAACTCCTGCCCTCTCTCTATCGGACTAGCCGCTCTTCTCTTCTTCCTCTGCCTCCCACCATCAGTTACCACCTGCTGCCTCTCTTCCTCGTTATCCAAACACTCTAACCTGTTCCTGAGTTCTATTCCCCCCTCACTAGCCCTCCTTTTCCTTGGCCTGCTCCTCACAGTCACATGCTTCCACTGATCTTGCTCTGCCCCTGACCTTCCCCCCTCACAGACCATAGCCTGTGCTTCCACCTGTACCCCTGAGCATTCTCCTTCTGCCACACCCAGCTTCTGCTCCATTAGCTGCTCGAATCCCCTTCTAAACTCTACCATAGTATCTACCTGCATCTGGAGCCCTCTAATCTTTTCCTCTAGCAGGTCTATCAGGCGGTATTTCATGCACACATACCTTTGTTCAGGCTCCCCAGCGAGGACCATGTACATACCACAGCTGCTGCATGCAATCATCTGCATACTGTCCCCTGCTGCCTGGCTCATGGCTGCTGTGGTCTCTGCCTGCTGCTCCTTCTCCTCCAATGAGATTCACTCCCACTTAAACTCCCCTGTTAGCAGCCCTGTTTGCCGGCTCCTGGGTGCCGCTGCTCGCTGCTTGATAGTGGTAACAAAACAGAGAGTAACTGAACCTTCAGCCCCTTGGGGCTCAGCAGGCAGGTACCTGCTCCCTGGGAAAGGCTTCTGCAGCATCCTTCTTCCAGAGCACTTAGGGTAGACCCTTCGCCCTGCTCTACCACAGCCCCTTGTGAGTTGTCTAGCTCCCTTTTAAGCTCCACCTCCAGCTGGAGCATGTTCTGCAGATGGGGATGGGCAGGGTCACCTGGGCCCAGAGTTGCTCCCTAACCCCTTCAGTTCCAGTGTGATGTTTTTATACCCTACCACACAAGCGTGCATCTTGTCTTCAAGCATCTCTTCTTCCATCTGTCTCTATTCTGCTTTGAGCAAGAGGCTCTTCTGACTAATTGGCTTGGTGTGCTTGCTCTGATGGGTTGCTGTAGTATGAGTCAGAAAGACTCTCTTGACCTTGTACTCAAGTTCAGTGCAAGAGTCATATGGTGCCTTATTGGAAGCCCATCCACCTACAGCTCTTTAAAGATGTGAGCTAAGACAAAGCACTGGAGGCTTTCCGGTATAATGGCTACTCACCGGTCGTGTCAGACAGCTTGGGGGTGAGGCCTCCCACACTACAGTCAGTCGAAGGTTCTCTCACAGTTCACCAAAGTCCAGTGGTGGCTTTTTTGACAGATGAGGCCCAAACCACAAGACAGTTATTTCCACCCTACCCACTGTATAATTGAATAGCTATTAATAGCATAGCCTTATTTATTGTGACGATGTGGCAAGTGAACCCAGGAGCTGAAGCTCCCACCATCACTGCTAGCTGGGCTAGTGCAGGGAGCGGTGCATGAGCTGGGCCTGGGGCTTGGCAGCAGTTCCTTGCACACACAGCCCACGCCATGGGGGAAGGGCTGGGGAGGTGCAGGGCATATGTAAGGATGAGGCCTTTGTCTGCAGACATATTGTAAGGCCTAAAGCCTAAGGCCTTCGTCTGCAGCCCGATTAAAATAGCAGCCAAGCAGCAGCCATTAGCTGAGAAGCAGGAAGTCACATCCTCACATTCCATCTACATTACATTAAAACAATGTAATATCAGGCTGTTAAGAAAGTGACCCCGCCCAATGGCACCCACTATCACCAGAGAACGAAACAGATCTTAAGATGGTTTAAAAAAAACCTTAGTTTGATAGCATTCTGTCTGTCAAGAAATCACTTATCAATAGTTGTGGTTGTGAAATCCTCATTTCTTTATTGTTTTGTCATTATGGTCCCCACTTCCCTATTGTTTATCTGTATGGTCTCTGTCTGGTTCTTTAATTGTTTGTCTGCTGTATAATTAGTTTGACTTGGTGTAAGTTAATTAGGGTAGTGGGATTTAATTGGTTAGAGAATTTTGTTACACTATGTTAGGATTGGTTAGTAAAATTTTAATATAATAATTGGTTAAGGTATAACTAAAAAGGACTCAAGTTTCACTATATAAACTGGGGTCCAAAAGGAAGTTCTTTGGGAACCAACTCCAGGACACAGCCCCAAAGATCAGAGCTGCCAGTGCAGAAACTGGAGTCCTCCAGATGGGCCTGATCCTGACTGGCCATCAAGAAAAATTCATCTGTCTTATTGGGAGTGGTGAGCACTGTATGTGTAGCGTGTGCAGTCTGGTTTTGGTGATGGCTAATAAATAGAGGTTATGTAGTAAATTACTGTGTAAGGTTCTTTCACTGGTAAAAGGTCCTGCAGACCTGCAGAAGCAGTATACGCTCAGAGCCCTATGTATTGGGAAAGGGTGTGGGTACTTAAATTGACCAGGTTAGTTACGCCCTGAGCCCTATGGATTGGGTAAGGGTAGGTGTTTTTGTCTGGAGCCCTACAGACTGGGAAAAGGTGGGGTGCCCTAATGTGTGCAGGTAACACATAGGCCACATCCCCACCCCCCTGCAAACCCCCTGGAGCCCAGGCTTAGCTACTACAATCCTGCCATGTCCTCACCAAGCAGTGGTTACCACAGTCACGCCCTTGCCAAGTGACTCCTGGGCCTGGTAAATTGCCATGGTAACAATGCACCTTCTTGAGGCATCATTGGCTATACCAAGAGTTGGGCCTCATGCAGCACTACTACCTTCATCAAACTTTCCAGTGTTGCATTTTGCTACTGGAGAGAATGAGTTGTGACATTTGATCATCCTTATACTTCTATAGATTATCCTTACACTTCTACAGATCTCTCAGTTCAATAAAAGTGCATATGCAACAATGTATTGCGTGGCTGCTGGAAGTTCTTGGTTCTGCCTGGCTTGCCTGCTGATTAGCTCCCCCTAGTCCCTTGGAGATCAGATGAAAGGAATCCACATCACACGGGAAATTGGTCTGGAAGTCTTAGTGTGGATGGGGATAGCAGCGGATGCTGGGCCTGGCTTTCTGCAGCCAGAGTCTACATTGCTGAATGGGTGACCAAGTGCATTGTTCCCACGCTGCATCACATGTGATGCAAACTCCACATAAAGTCACATCTCTAAAAGAGGGGCTCAAACACCTGAAGTTACACCCATTACCCAGCTGGAGAGGAAAAGGGGCTATCCAAACACCAACACCACAAATAAACCCTTCTTGTGTCTTGCTTGCAGTCCCGGTTTGGCTTGTTTCCAGTCTAAGGAGACAAAATAACAACTGTTTCATAGGCCCAACCTTGACGTCTTTGATCCGTTCTCACTCAGGGGGAGTTTTAGTGGAGGAAAGACTAGGCCTTCAGGGCCCAGAGCCAGAGGGGTTAAAACGTCTAAATCGCTGCGTGGACACAATTGGTGTAAAATCAGCCAAGTCTTCCCAGGTGCAGACCTGCTGCCGGTAACTGTCCGCTGCAATGGTGCTGAAAGCAGGTCCCAGCTCCTCCTGCAGAGCCACTGCCCTATAGCTAGCACTGAACTATAGCTAGACATCGCTTTGCTGGGTACCGAGTAACAGTCTGGAAAGTGGAAAGTAGAAACCACTATTACCCTAGTCCTAGGCCTCATTTGGGATCCCCAAGATTATTAACTATGCCAAGCACAAATCATGACCAAGTCTTTTTTTTTACTCTTGTACAAACAGTCCCCCCCCAACACACACACATGCATATAAACACCTTCAAGCCCCAAACTAGCTTTATTATAGAATTCAAATGCTCTTTTCTGCCTGCAGATGATTTAAGAGGGACTCTTTACCTATTGATTGGACACAGCTAGATACCCCAGCATCCAAGTGAATGAGAAATCTAACTATAAGGGAGTTAGCCGGGGCAGTAAGATCAGAAGCACTGCATTCATACTTTGGAATCTTTCCTCTCCTAATAAGATATTCATAAGATAAAGTAGCCAATACTCAGTTGACTGCATCAGAGTAGGAATTAGTCAAGAAGTGCAGTTTGTACTAGACCTAATGCTCAGTTAATGATGTAGCAGTGGAACTCGATTTAAAAGTCTCATCAATTAAACTAGCTCCCCTCACTTGAAAAGGGCTCCCGCCCGATTTTGAAGGGTAAAAAGACCTCCTCTGAATTAATCCAGTCCCTTTAAGCCCTCCCCGTTCTCTTTGTCGTGTGTGACCTGGTCTTGTTGTGTCTGGGCTAGATTGTTTTCCCAGGGTTAATCACCGGCCTCCAGGGAAGCTGGAGATACGTGGGTGCCATTAATATGGTGCATGGATCGTCTCTGGAGTCCTTTCCAGCACTAGGGAAACGGAGCACACGCAGCCTCTGTGTGTAGATGTAATACAGAGAGCATCAGCGGCTCGCACGCTTTGCAGTTTGGAGGAGGCCCGCTCTGCTTTAGGGAATCACAAACCCTGCGCGGAGCCGTTCCCTTGGCTCCCCCATTTCCGCTCTGGTTTCACTCTCCCTCTGTGCCATTCCCGATCTCCTGCCGCGCCGGCTGCTGCTCGCTGGGCGAGGACGGCCCGGCCCCTCCCGCAGGAAAAGTGGATTACGGCGGGTGCAATCAGGGCCGGTTTAATTCCCTGGAGACGGGCTGAAATGGGACCAGCTGCAAGTGCCCCCGTTGCGCGGCGCCGGGATCCGGCTGGGGGAAGGGAAGGGCGGGGGGCGTGGGGGGAGCCTCAGCGCAGATGCTCCCCCCCTTAGAAAAATTCATCAGCTGCTTTTGGGAAGGGCTGGGCTGGCTCGGGTCTGACGCGGCCCCTCCTCTTCCTCCTGCTTTCTCCTCTTCCCCTCTCCCTCCCTCCCTCCATCCCTCGCTCGCTCGCTCGCTCCAGTCCCGGGCAGCCGCACGGCCCCTGCTGGGACACCATGGGCGAGATCCCCAAGCTGGTGAAAATCAACGTCTCCCTGAAAATCCAGCCGAACGACGGGCCGGTCTATTTCAAGGTGGACGGGCAGCGGTTCGACCAGAACAGGACCATCAAATTCCTGACAGGGGCCAAGTACACGGTCGAGGTGGTGCTGAAGCCAGGGGTCGTGCACGCCACGTAAGTGCGCCGCACTGCGGGTCTGTCGCTGCTCCCGGCCTCCCTCCCTCCCCTGCCCACTGGCTATTTGTAGAAGGCTGATACTGCTTTCCTGGCAAGCTGACAGCGCAGGATTTCCATTG